CAGGGGCAGCCCAGAAAAGAGCCGTGGCTGCAGCTCAATGGTCAGTTCTTTGCTGCCCCCAAAAGGAGTGGTCCTTTGAGCTGCTCTTTTGGAGGCGGCAAAGAGGAGGATCGGGGCCACAGCCTTTTGAGCCCTGATCCGCTGCTCCCAAGGGTGTCTCAGAAAAGCCGCCCCATCTATATCGCCCCATGTCTTATTTTCGGGGTATGGCTTATATTGCACAAATGCTTAGAAATCCTACTACAGCTTATTTTATAGGTATGTCTTATTTTCAGGGGGAAACGGTACTTGGAAGGAAGGCTGCCAGGAAAAGGCAGCTGCTATAGGCTATATTTCAGAGGAAGTCAATGGCAAAACACCTCTGAATATACCTTGCCCAAAACAACCCTATGGAATTAATGTGGTTAACATACGTCAACAGATGACTTGAAGGCAATGCTGTATTTCCATACGGAGAAGCATTGGGTGACACTCTCTCCCAGTTTCTATCTTCAATAAAAGCACTATTGTTCAGAATCTCATATGCTCTTTGTGTGAACTGGGGGACTGAGGAAGTAGCACCTTCAACATGTAGGGCATTTGTCATTTTGGCATGCATGCTTCTCTTGCTCGATTTAGCAAGGGGATTTTTAAGCAGAAGCAAAAGTTCTTTGTGATTTCTCATGATGAAGAAGCATAAGCCAAAGTTATTCCATGATGACACACAGAGGCAATCACCCTTGAGCTCCATATGCCTTGTAAGGGCATGTCCAGCAATGTATATGAACATTGCAGAAAAGAGACTTTCAGATACGTTTCGTATAAACAGTGAATTCAGAATGGTGGAACAAGAGAATGTTTTGTCACCTCCATCTAAATGTGTATGTCTTATATTATCTTACATTGTCTTACATGTGAATAAATAACATTCTGTTTCAGATAATGGAAGATGGAGGAATATAGGAGGTGCCTCTCAATGGGAGCAAGAATCTCCTTCATATTGCATCCAGAGTTTTCTAGAAGCAGACCTTTTTGTCAAAACACAAAGAATGTGTGAAAAATGGGCATTTCTTCATCAACTCCAGAGTGTCAGTAAGTAGTCTCTGTGTCGGTGGGGCAATGAATCTGTTCTGGGTTTTAGTTTCAATACTAAAGGATTAACCAATATGTTGAACCACACCCCAAATTAGTTTCAGCACCTTGGTTATCTCCAGTAAAGTATGAACTCAAATCTGGAATGGATGCACCACCTCACTACCATGGATGTTACCAGCCTAAACTGCATGCATACAAAACCAGTGCTTATTTCTGGAGAGCAGGGTTTGATTCCTGGCTCAGCCATGAAACCCATTATGTGACCTTAGGAAAGTCACTCTCTCTCAGCCTTGGGGGAAGGCAATGGCAAACCCTCTTTGAACAAATCTTGCCAAGAAAACCCCATTATAGGTTCACCTTAGGGTCACTATAAATCGGAAACAACTTGAAGGCACACAACAACAAATGGTGTTATAAGCTAGGAATGGATAAGGCATTTCTGCCCAATGCTGACAAAGAGAGAAAGACAGATTCTGTACTGAACCAGTATGGTGTACTGGTTTAAATATTGGACTAGGACTCTGGGAAAATAGTGTTCAAATCCCTACTCAGCCATGGAGACCCACTGGATGTCCTTTGATAAGTCACACTCTCTCAGCCTAAGAGGAAGGAATGGCAAGCTTCTTTTTTTAATAAATCTTGAGAAGACAACCATAATATAGGGTCACTATAAATTGGAATCAGCTTGAAGGCACATGATAATAACAAAGGAATGTGTGACACTCCCTTACTTCCTTTACCCTTTTGCTTAAAAAAGTAAAATAAAGGTAACTGCTACTCCTTGAGGTCTCCAGGATTTGCATATAGCTGGAAAATCACTCTCAAACAAAGCAGCTGAAAATGCCATCAAAACCCCAAAAGCAGCAACTGAAAGGGACCTCCATTAGTAAACTTTGGCTGATTGGTAAATGGGCCATCCAAGTTTAGGGGTGGCAATTGTGAATATGAAACAGTTACAGAGGAATCAATCTAGGTAGCTGTTTCATATTCATGATCGCTACTTAGTCATGATCATGACACTATTGTAATTCCCCTACTTTACCAGGCATCAGCTACATGGGGAGAAGGAAATCCATTTTGCTGCTGACTGGAATGTGGGTGAATACCATTTCAGTTAAAGTGGTGTCAATGTGGATTATTTCTGCAGTGTGGATGCAGCTGAAGTTACCGAAAACTTTGGAAACAGTTACTGAAGCAGCTGATACAGGATTCCAGCCAGTATTGACACAATATTATTTTTTTTTAAAAAAACACACAATTAAATATACTCCATGTACTCGTTGGTAATACTGGTAATTCCTTACACTTCCATTTCTAATTCTCCATCACCTTTTTACTTTTGTTTGTTTGTTGTTGTTGTTGTTGTTGTTGTTAACTGCCTTTCTGTCAGTCTCAACCCATGGCAACCCTATAGATGACATGAGACATCTCCAGGCCTCTGTCCTCTACTGCTCTGCCCAGCTCCTGTAAACTCTTATTCATGGTCTCTTTAATAAATTAATAAATAAACATTTAATAAATAAAATAATATTGTCTTTTCTAACGATTCATGCCTTCTCATGATGTGTCCAAAGTAAGTCTTGTCATCTTAGCTTCTAGGATATTTCTGGCTTGATCTGCTCTATGACACATTTGTTTGTCCTTTTGGCTGTCCATGGGATCCTCAGCACTCTTCTCCAGCACCACATCTCAAATGCGTTGATTTTCCTCCTGTCTTGTTTCTTGACTGTCCAGCTCTCACATCCATGGATGGTAATAGGGAATATAATGGCTTGTATGAGTCTAACTTTTGTGCTG